ATATTATATTATATTATATTTATTATCGTTAATTTTTTACAAAGAAAATTAATATTATCGATGATATATTTAATTTATCTCTTTTCCTTTTATTTACAATTTTTGTATATTTTTCTCTCTTACTCTCTCTCTATCTCACTAATTTTAATTAATTATATTTGACATAACTAACTAATTTTTTTATCGGGTCAATCAATTTTCTCTCTTTCTATTATTTTTTTATTGCATTTGACATATCCTCTCTTTCCACTTTTATATGCATATTTCCCATCAAGAAGATTATTTTTCTACATAACGTCAAAAATTGTTCTTTTTATATCTTTTTTTTTTAAACGTATATAGAATAATCCTTGATATACAATTGTATGACACCACCATCATATGCAGAAAGAAATAAATGTTAAGATAAATCGATATTTCGTCTATTCCATTACGGAAGTGTATGCATGTGTGTGTGTGTAAGTCAAATATATATATATAACAAAATGATTCGTTGTGTATTTTTCCAAAAGAAAAGAAAAAACACTTTTCATATTATACTTCACGATTTTTCTCAATAGTTATTTCTTTTAAAATGAAGTAACTATATACTCGACTAGGTCAATAAAATCTTACAAGGTCATACATGGATATCGTCAAAGATAGTAAATCGATAAACGCATTTCAATATAGAAATTCTATTTGTTATATCTCAAAGAAAACTTCAATTCAAATTTCTACAACATTCGAAATAATCAATCAATTTGAAACGTATCAAAACTATAATGTTTGCAATAAAATTTGATCATGTATGACAGTTTATTTTCTATTGAATATACAAAAATTTAATTTAAACACTGTCATATGATTTTGATTTGAATAAATAATAAACACACACACACACACACACAGTTTGTGGAAATATAATCAGAAAGTTATTAAAAGATACATCTTTGTACTTCGTGTGGTTGCAAAGATTAACATTCGTTGGATATTTATACATCATGGTTATAATCCAGATAGGAACAGAGAGAGAGAGAGAGAGAGAGAGAGAGTACGTAAACCTAATTATGTAAACATTATTCCAACCGAATCTATATACCAACAGTTATGATGATGATCATGATGATGATAGTAGTAGTGGTAATGGTACTAATGATAGTAAAAATGTTGAATAGTAAAGATAAAAATAATGTATAAAATTAACAGATGATTTTATCCGATCATTTGATATAGTACTTGTAATCTGTTAAATTTAATTACTATAACATTTGTATAATAAGTATTTGATGATACTAATATGAAACTTTATATTTAGTTCACACACAAATAAAATCATATCAGCAAAAGTTAACATTATCAATTATCTTTACTTAGAAATATAAATGTTATTCTTTTAATTATCGTTCAATTGTTTTTGTTACTATGATATCTATCTAAATTTTGAATAGAATTATTATTAATTGATAGATAAAATGATTTTTTTGTTTGATGTATTTTATTAATCACATTTGTTTGGAATATATAACGTCAGGATAAAAATTGTGATAATTTAAAGTATATTATAATTATCTATAGAATTCATTTTAATTTTGTCGAATAATTAAATTAGATAAAACACACAGGTAATTTAGCGTGTGTACATTTTATTTGTTTTAATTTGTAAACAATTTTCTAATCAATCATATTTGAAAACATATGAAATATTAATTCTAATGAAAATTTAATCATCGTGACAACGTCATATCAAATGTGTCTATAATATAATATAATATATTATATATTTATTAATAATAAATTATATAAATTTACTTTTTTCTGTTCGAGCAGATAATAAGCGAAGGTATATTGATGTTTACTGCAATCCTGGCAGGATTATACTACAGGTTTCTAACAGCAACAGCACATAAAAGGACCTTCGCTGGTACCAGAACGGTGATCGAATCTCGGATAAAATTAGAATGTGAAAGAGAACAGCAGGAACAATTATTGCTAAGCGTTATTCCGGCCTACATAGCAGCTGAGGTAAAATAACAAATGATTTTCTTACGAATATTCTCCAAATAGCTAAAAGAAAATGAAACCATACACACCAAAAGGTTAAAACGTACGTTTTAATCTCTCTAAACATTTTATATAGAAACACAATTATTAGAAAGAATTTATTTTTTTATATACCTGCATAATATTATTTCATTATTATTATATATTTTTATATTAGTTAAATGTAACAATTAATTTTTATTTATTAAATATATATAATAAAACAAATTAAATATTCATCAGACATTGTAATCGGGTATGGTGTTTTAAGTATGGTTCCCAATGCACCAATTTATCTAAAAAGGGAAACCCTTTTATCCCTTTTTAATCGCCTCTTACAACAAACGGGCCCACACCCTCCCTGACTGGGATTATTTTTCTTTATTTTTAAAGGAAACAAAAAATCATATGTTGCTGATTTATCGAAGAAATATTTAAACAATTCTTTTTCCACTTTTTCTTGTTATAGTTAAAAAAAAAGAAATTAAAAAAGATAAAGTATTATACTCTTTTTTTTTTTTAGAAAAAAAAAAAAAAAAAAAAAATGATAAGAATAAAAATGAAAAATAAATGGAAAAAATAAAAGAAAAATGTAATAGTTTTATCGAAAGATATCATACGATATTGTTTACAGGTTAAA